TTTTTAAGCCATATCTAATCAACACAAAACAATTTTTAAGCCATATCTAATCAACACAAAACAAATTTTAAGCCATATCTAATCAACACAAAACAAATTTTAAGCCATACCTAATCAACACAAAACAATGTATTTGTTTCTGTAAAAAGGGCCGGCCATTTTTGTCTCTGGACTAGCCATTCTGATTTGGACTGTTTTTCGAGGTAGCTTTAATATGACAAATAATAACTGTCACCAGTGACGTCATTTTGGATAGGGCAATGGACCCCCCCCCCCCAATCCCCAGAATTTTCAGGCTTTATTTCACTGTACTGTGGCAAAGATATAAAAACTTTCAAATGTTGATGTTGTCTTTTGTTGTTGATCAGGGCTGGAGTTAAGGCGAGCTTATTCTTGGCGCCACTGCTCGGACTCACCTGGACTTTTGGATTGGCATCTGTCAACGTTGACCTTCTGGCATTCCAATATGTTTTCGCCGTCCTCAACTCACTTCAGGTCTGGGCGTGTCTTACGTTTCCTCTAATATATCCTGTAAAGCATTCAGTGGCGTAGGAGGGGTGTGGAGGGGGGGCGGTAATTATTCCCTTATATTGAGGGGTGCCATTTTCGGTCTTATTAAGAGGGTTTTTTTCGTGGAAGAGGGTGGAAACAAAGCTTAACCCACCCGGGGTGGTACTAACCTTTGCTACGCCACTGAATGCAGCGTTTCCCGGTTGACATAAAATCAATCAAGAAACTAGAAGAAAATGTATTGTCAATGAATTAGGCACCCCACCCCCAGTGCTGTGGGGAGCATGACCATAGGACTAGAGGCCGACCGAATTTCGGCTTCGGCTTCGGTTTCGGCGCCGAAAGTGGCAATCTTATCACTTTCGGCTTAATTTCGGTTTCGGCCGAAAGACAAAAGTTAACTTTCGGTTTATTTTCGGTTTCGGCCGAAATTGACTTAGACTTTCGGACATCCGGTCGAAAGTGACTGAGGTTTTCAGTCTTTTACCATATGTAAGATTGTCACTCTGTCTGATGGCTGGCAATCCGATATATTAATTATTGCGCGACGTATTGCTGTCATCGGTAATATATAACAAATTAGTTGCGAACACTGTTCACAGCTGAATGATGACTGACTTGTCCAATATTTTAAGAAATACAATTTTAATAAGGCAAATGGAAAGTTTAACAGTTTTTTTTTTTGGGGGGGGGGGGGGGGGGGAGTGTACTATTTATTTTTTTTTTTCGTTTGG